GCATATAGAACACTAGAACTTTGCCCCCCAGTCTTGCTGTAATTTTGTATCCTTTAACAAATCTCTTCCTATCCCTCTCTTCCTCGCACCCTTCCCAGCCTCTAGAATACCCTGTTCTACTTTTTACTTCGATGAGATCAACTTTTTTTTTTGAGATGGAGTTTCCCTCTTGATGGAGTACCATGACGCAGTCTCAGCTCACTGCAACCTCCGCCTCCTGGGTTCAAGCGATTCTCCTGCCTCAGCCTCCCGAGTAACTGGGATTACAGGCATGCGCCACCACACCCAGCCAATATTTGTATTTTTATTAGAGACAGAGTTTCACCATGTTGGTCAGGCTGGTCTTGAACTCCTGACCTCAGGTGATTGCCCGCCTCAGCCTCCCAAAGCACTGGGATTACAGGTGTGAGCCACCGCACCCAGCCAAAATCAACTTTTTTTTAGCTCCCACATATCAGTGAGAATATTGGGTGTTTAACTTTTGGTTCTTGACTAATTTCACTTAGGATAATGTCCTTCAGTTCTATCCATGTTGCTGTTACTGACAAGATTTTATTTTTTTAATGGCTGAATAATATTCCATTGTGTGCGTATACCGCATTTTCATTATCTGTTCTTCATCTGTTGTTGGACACTTAGATTGATTCCATGTCTTGGCTGTTTCAAATACTGTTGCAGTAAACATGGTGGGAGATGCAGATGCCTCTTTGATACATTGATTTTTTTTTCCTTTGGATGAATGGCATGTGGTGGGGTTGCTGGATCATATGGTAATTCTGTTTTTAGTTTTGTGAGGACTTTTTTTCTACTTCTGTGAGGAGTGTCATTGTTTTTTTCATAGGGATTACGTTGGATCTGCAGATTGCTGTGAATAGTGTGGTCCTTTTAACAACATTAATTCTTCTGATCCATGTGCAGGAGATGTTTTTCTGTTTGTCTGGAGTTAATGCCCATCAGAAGTTACTGTCTCGGTTTCTTTCATCAGGGTTCTGTAGTTATTTTTGTGAAGGTTTTTCACCTCCTCAGTTAAATTTATTCCCAGTTTTTTTTGTTTGTTTTTTTTTGTTTTTGTTTTTGTTTTTTTTTTGTGTGTGTGTGTGTGTACCCATTGCAAATAGGATTTGCCTTCTTGATTTCTTAGTTCATTGGTTGCATATAGAAAATGCTACTGATTTTTCTATGTTGATTTTATATCTGCAACATTACTGAATTTGTTTATTCTAAGAGTTTTTTGGTAGAGTCTTTAGGTTTTTCTATGTATAAGATCATGTTGTCTGCAAATAGGAACAGTTTGACTTCTTCCTTTCCAATTTGGATGCCCTTTATTTTTCTTTCTCTTGCCTGATTGCTCTGGCCAGGACTTCCAGTTCTGTGTTGAATAAGAGGGGTGAGAGTGAGCAGCATCCTTGTCTCATTCCAGTTCTTAGAAGAAAAGCTGAGAGCTTTTAGTGTGATGTTAGCTGTGGCTTTTACCACTTTTATTAGTGATATGAGGAAGGTTAGTTTTGCTAATGCATCATCTTCTGCCTTGGTTTCCATAATAGCTGTGACTGAATAAAAGTATGTATTAGAGTAATTATCCCTGTCTTATGCTGATTCAATATCAATGTCAACTTTTCCCATACATTTATGAAAAAGTTACGCAAAGAAGCAAATGTGTCTATTGTCTAATTTTTATGTATGGGAAGATTCCTAACCTCTACAATATGAAATTAGGTTATGTAGTGCTGGTATTGTTTTTGTAATTATGATTATCAAATAATTTTATTTTAGCTAGAGGCAGATTTATTTGATCTGTAAGAACGCTTAATGTGTATAGATGCAACTTTATTATTTTAAGTATTAAAAGGTCTGCTTACCTATAACAAGATATGCTGTATCTGGATTTTACTTCATAAATGCTCTGTAAATAGTGAAAAAACACATGGTGGACTCTCTAGTGTAGGTGGAATCCTTTTCATTATACTTCCTGAGCCAAAATTCTGTCCTAGTGCTCCTGCAAAAACAAAAAAACCCAATGTGTTTTTCTTGTTTTCATATTCATACGAAGAAACATTACAATCTCAATTCTAGATCATTTTTCCTGTTTTTTTGCCCCATTCTGTTATTTTCCCCCATTCTGTTATTTTCATATTATAAGTGCATGAGTACATATAAAATAGCTGTGAAAATAATGAGACTAAATTTTTTATTTGTGTGAATGTGGAAATAGCCAAAGAAAGAGAGACAGGAGCCACCCCCTATACCCCACATTGAAAAAAACAAACTCAAGCAAAAACAGAAGGAAAAATTGGATTATTTGCCAGATGGGTTTTATCCTTAAATAGAAAAATATTGTCCAGAAATACTTAGGTATATTTAATGTGGCCTTGCCTTGTTACTGATGTCAGGAGAAATAAGGTCATGGCTCCTGGTGTGCAGGTCGGACCATGGACCTCTTACTTTGCTGCTCTTGTTTTTTTTCTGATGCAGCCTGTGAGCAAGTAGTATAGAGTAAGAAGCCTGGGTGAGACAACCGTCTACCTAAACAAATCCTACCACAGTGTCCTGGATTTGAAACACCACACCCTCTCATAATACTCAGGGAAAAGTACATTAACTGAAGAGAAAGAGGAAGCAGGAGAGAATAGGTGTTCACTCCTAGTGTCTCTTCCTTGTCTTTTTTTAAATCTAAAAGTGAATCTTATATAAAATAATAGCTTCTAAACTTTTAGCCAAAAAGTTAATTTCTTATTTTCTAATCATTTATTCCATTTCAATTTTTAAAAAAGAATTTCAAGAGGGGTTTTTATAACTTAAACTGCATTAAGTATGTGGTTTTCCCACTTGTGATGATCAAATTTTTATATACATATCAAATAGAACTTGTAATCTACATGAAGTCATCAAAAGCAGCAAAACTGCCTCTATAATCTTACCGTGCATAATTATTCAGTTTTTACTGTGCATAATTATTCACTTTTGTTAAGTGTTGAAAGTAGGTCACAGGTTCTTTTTCCTTTTACGACTACCATGGAATTCAAAGAGTCTAACACCTGTTTTTGAAAACTCTATATGAAATATGAAAATAAATCCTTCAATGCCCATATTGTTACCTAATTCCTATTGCCAATTTGTTTTACATGTAAAATGGTATAATTATCCAAAAGACAGGGACCTGGATAAGAAGACATTGTGAAATTTTTTCTGACTTGTTTATTCAGTTATTCGGTCAACAGATATTTAAATGTTTAGCACTGACCTACATAAAAGTAAGACAAGTATGAAATCTGCCTCCATAGATTTTATAATTTATTTTTTACCTGTATTTCCGGCATTATATTATTCAATTAGTTCATGACTTTATTGTGGTATTTCATTCACATAGTAATGAATTTTATTGGCTTAGCTATTTGGCAGCCAGACTTCTAGCTGCAGGGAAGCAAATATTACCCTCTTTACTCACTCAGTTTCAAGTAGAAGGATTTTTTTTTTACAGATTTCTGAAAGACCAAAAAGGAATCTAGCCTTCAAACAGATAAAACTCCTTAGAAATAATCTGATTTTAAAGAAACTCTTAGATACCATCCATTTTGCTACCTCAAATTCTTGTTCCTCTTCTGCCTTCAAAACGTCAATCATTGCTTTCTAGAATACTTTCTAAGTTGGGTGTAAAGCTTAATCTCCTTTTTAAAAATAGATAAGACTAATTTTAATTGTCTAAAAATAAAAGAGCACATGAATGAATATTTGTGGCATAACTCTAGGAAAAGCATAGAAATATTGACCAGTTTCTTTTTTAAATTAATTGACTGTGTAAAGATAAGTAAATACATGTATTACACAGTTTTCTGGAGTTCATTATCAGCATTATGTTACTATATTATATACACATTCACTCACTTCCGTTTTTACATTAAATTGTAATTTTTATCTATTGGATTATTTGGTACTATGACACCACCTAACAGTAGATTCTGGGGCTCTTTGGCTTTGGCTGTCACCTAATAGTTTCTCCAATGAATAAAAATTATCCGAAAATAACAACTCCTAAGCTTACAAACATAGTCATAGATGTTTCTAAAAAGTATGTAGTCATATTCACAACTAAATGTTTTGGTTAATAATGTAAAAATAAAGTCTTGACAGTTTACTAACACCAAATAATAGAATTTGCCCTTGTAGATTTATCTTCCAAATTATGCAACCCAAACTGTAGAAAAGGCACATCTAAAAGCACTCATTTTTTTTTTAATGTGCCACCTGAATATTCACAGACTGTGTAATTGTACTGAAGGAGCTTCATAGACAAGATAATTTTGAGATCAGTAAGCAAAGTTAGTGCTATATATACTTATATAAGAGACAAAAATAAAACATTTTTCAGTTTTGTTCTAGATGTTTAAAATGAGGCTATCATCAGAATAACTCCTAAAAAAAAAAAAAAAAGAAACAGTATCATGGCTTTAGAATTATGGTGGATATGAGGAAAGTTATATAGAAAATGAAGAAGATGGCTTGAAAACCTGAAAGCATTTTAAATCTCTGTTATCCAATAGGAAGTTATTTAAAGTGACTATTTTAGAATGGATGGTTATGTTGGCTAGACTTTTACATTGGACTGGAGAGTATAAGCCTAAGAGGACTTTCCAGATTTACAAAAAAAAGGAAGCTTTCTAAATCATGAGTGTTTTTTTCTAAATCAATTAAACTGAAAAAGAGAGTGGTTTTAATAATCATATGGCTCAGACAACTAAGATAAGTCATAGATGGTTATATACGATTTCATATGTATGAAATAGGGTGAGTGAAATTGAAAATGGATCTTGCAAAAAATTATAGTGTCTTTGTGTTTAGTCTTAGAATTCTCTGACTCATAATTATGGTTTAAGGTGTTAACTAAAATTACAGGTCTTTTTAAATAAATATTTGATTGTTTTGTCTTTTAAATAATTTTCTTTCTGCAACTTGAGTTTTACCAAAGAAAATGGATACTAAATAATGTTTGTTCTTTGTTGTAGGTAAAACTTTGGTCAAGAAACTGACAAAAAAGGTAAGCAACATGTGGGAGGAGGTGGGGTTTGTTTTTGGTAAGATAGAAAATGAACTTTTAGTTAAAATTTTAATATGTGTGTTCAAAGGACATCGAGGATACACTGTCAGGGATCCAAACAGCTGGTTGTGGATCAACTTTTTTCAGAGACCTTGGCGATAAAGGTAATTTTGATATGTTGCTAAATTTCTAGTTATGTGTTTTATTTAACTGAAGTATTATCAAGGAATTACAGTATGAGATCTCCACCATGTTATTTAACAGGTGTTTATAAAACATAATAACATAGTAAGTAGGAGGTAACTTTTTCAAAGTCTCTGAGCAATTACAGATAAATTATTAAAACATCAATGTTAATTAAAGCCCTGGAAGAGGGGATGAGGCAGAGTATTTAAAATAAAAGATAAGAAGCCTCCAAGAGCATCCAGAAGAGCACCACTATTTAAGGGAGTAGATGGGGCAGAGTGATCAGAGAGGTAGAGGAACACCAATAGAGTGTTATTACAGAAGCCAAGCAGAAAGTGTTAAAGAAATTTATCAAATATGAAAACCAAGTAAATTTAGGGAGTTGAGTGAGCCAAGGACTGAGAAGTATCCATTATATTTAGCAGCTGGAAGTGTTTGACATTCTAGCAAGTACAGTGGCGCCTTGTTATCCATGGGGTATTGGTTCTAGGAGCTCCCTTGGATACCAAAATCCAAGAATGCCCAAGACCCTGATATAAAATGGCATCATATTTGCATATGACCTACAAATATCCTCCCATATAGTTCAGATCATCCCTAGATTACTTATAATACCTAATACAATGTAAATAGTTGTTATATTCTATAACTTATTTTTTTTATTTGTATTGGTGGTTTTTTTTGTTTGTTTTGTTTTGTTTTTGAGATAGGGTCTTGCTCTGTTGCTGGGTTAAAGTGCAGTGGCACAATCATAGCTCACTATACCATCAAACTCTAGGGCCCAAGCAATCCTCCTGCTGCAGCCTCTTGAATAGCTGGGGCTACAGGTGTGCACCACCACACCTGGCTAATTTTTTTTAATTTTTTTATAGCCGGGAGTCTCACTATTTTGTCCAGGCTGGCCTCAAACTCCTGGACTCAAGCAGTCCTCCAGATTTGACCTTTGAACGTGATGGTATTACAGGCGTGAGCCACCACACTTGGCCT